ATCCTTTGTGTCTCCGTCACCCAGGGGAAGTGGGGTGACAAATCTGTGGGGGGCAAAGCAATAACACCCAACACACCTTCCTATTCACTCCTGAGATGTTTTCATGCTCAAAAATAAATATTCAATGACAGTATTTCCCTGACTTTCAAAGTGAACCACCACCCATCTCCACCTAAAAAAGAAAGTTGTAACAGCAAAAAAAGCATTCTAGTTTCTAGTTACCAAAGACTGTACTGAGTCAGAATTATACAGCACAGTGGCGCAATAAACCTTGGAATCAACATAATTAGATTACTTTTAATTTATTAGCAGCAAGAAATTAATGAAATATTACAAAAATATTTCATTTTGGTTGGCACAACCTATAATTATCATGGTTTTGTTCTGGATCAAATCTTAAAACGGTTTAAATTCAAACTACAGAAACAACTCTGAGAAGCTGGAAATCTACATTTGATTTCAAGCTCTAATTTATTTCCCATTTAAAGGCAATTGAGAGTCTAAATTTGGAACTAATATACAATAGTAATGATACCTATCATTAACAAAGTGCTCTACGTTTTCAAACCCCCTTACGTTCATTATTTTATTCCTTTAACAAGGTGTCATTTCTTCCACATAATGAAAGGAGCAGAGACAAAATGCACGGACAGTAGGAGTCAGGAAAGTCTCTCCTAATGAACAGATAAATCATTTAAGATCAAGCTATGGAAAGTACTTGAAATAATATCCCATGTCTACTGTGTGAGATATATGCAAGACACTATTTGACACTCAGCTCTGAGTAGTGCAGTAAAGGTAACATCAGAGCTTGTTTTATACAGGCCTCAATGAGGCTCTTCTGCCAACACCAAAAACAGACTTGAAAAACCATACCTTTAAAGCAGCACTGGTGATATATAGTGAAGGAGGTCCTGTGGCAAACTTTACTTTACTCCCTGAAATGCCAGCTTAACCCACTTCAGGGAGACAAACTTTATACAGAGACAAAGTCAACTTACTTCAAAAGAGAATTCTCATTGTCAGTGTAGACAGAGGTATAAACGAAGGTTGAAGGTGTTGTATTGATATTGGAAGGGCCAAGGGATAAAAGTAAAGGTTGAAGT